CTTCCGGCAGCTGCTCTTAGCTCGTGGGTGAAAACGACTTTGCTGTTCAGCTTTGCCAGTGCTTTACTTTCGAGTAAGCAATAATTCTGAGAAGTTGTATCTTTTACTTAGGTCACCTTCCTTCCAGTCTTCGGCATGTTTGCCCTCAACCAGGCGCCTGTGACGGGGGAACTCAGCAATAAGAAGGGAAAAGTGTGCTTGATGTTCAGCTTGACTGTTGCTTTGATTCTCTTTGGTAGTGATGGCCTCCACCCTGGACAATTCAGCCTCAGGTGGCCGCTCAGTTGGAGATGCCATTTGGAACCGACGATAATGACTTGCCCTTGACCCACTTCCAATATGTCCATACCTGAGCCAGGCTCATGTGCTTGACTTTGGTTCAGAAAGCAAGTCTTCCGAATTGAGGAGCTGAACAAGAGTCTGTTGCAACTGATGCATGAGCGTGGAAGCCAAGTGGAAATGCATGTGTAGAAACAGAGAATGTCAAATGGCATAAATAGAGACAAGAAGCTCAGGGGCCTTATTATTGGAGCAAAAAAAAGACATCTATGTTTGTTCTATCTTGTACTCACCTTTTTGCATCACCGTTCCAGACATTGTGATATTCCCAGACGCTGACAGATCTTGAGGATGTCAGATCATTTGCCAAGCACCCTGAAGACGGCCAAGACCAGTGTGGACGACTTGAGGACCCGGGGATTGTACTTCCGGGATGACCTGGCCTTTCCTGTGACTTCAACTCACCAAGATGACCTGAGAACGATTTGAAACTGCGTCATGGACTCCTTGACCACAATTTCACCTGACGCTATTAGGTTGGAGGCCATCGCTCTTCGGGAGAAAAGAACGAAACAAGAGGAAAGAAAAGCAGAGATGGTCTCAAAGACTGCTGTGCAGTCGCTTCCTTGGTGGATCTCAAGGGCAAAAAGGAACCTTCAGCCGAAGTAGCAGCAAGGCAGGTGTCCGTTGGGAAGAAAACACTTTTGTGGGTGGGGTGGTTGGTGTGTTTGTTCTTTCCTTTTGTAACGTTCTTTTTTCCTTTCACCATCTTTCACCGTTAGACCTGTGATTTTTCGTGTAAGTCCAAGACCAGTTGGCCAGCTTCAGCAATTCTGTCTCTGTGTCTTAGTTGATTCTCTTTTTCTTTTTTCAGACCTTCAGACCTGAAGCTACTAGTAACAAGTGCATCGCTTCTAGTAACAAGTGCCTTACTAGTAGTAACAAGGACGCTACTAGTAACAAGAAGCTACTAGCTTTCTTGAGACCTTTAGACCTTCAGACCTCTAGGCCCGGGAACTAGGAACCAGGATGCACCGGTCGCTGCCTGTCGCTCAGGCTTTTGAGAGTATGGACTTCGAGGAGGTCCAGAGCCTAGAGACGTCGATCTATGTGTCATGCGCAGTTCTTGAAAGAAACCCGCAAACCACGTCTTTCCACAGCTCTCAAACTGTATGCATGACCTGTGTGACTGAGCAGCTGGATCCTGAAGTTGTGGCATTCTGATCAGTTTTAGACTTAAACAATCTTCAAATACACTTCGTCCTTGCTACGAACGGGGCTCCTGGCCTTACTACGAACGGAGCGATCGGACGCTACTAGGGGCTCCAGCTGCGCTTGCTTTTGCTTCAGGAGCAGCTGGAACTGGAGGTCCCAAGACTCGAGGAGAAGACATAAGATCAGTGTGTCAGCTGTGCTGTGCTGTGACACGCAGCTTGAGACCCACTGGTGGGACACGGTTCTCCTTTTTTTGCCGACCTCCCCAAATGGCCATGGCCTCCAATCTACTAATGGCCTCCAACTTGATTGAAACTTTAGTCCAAACTTTGTTGTTTGTGAATCCTGTTGCTCCTCGGCTCCTTGCCAATTTTTGGAGCACCTTTTTCTCCTACAGGAGAAGGCAGGTTTTCAACCAGAGAAGCTGGTGCCAAAAGACTCTAGGCTATTGGTAAAGGGACCGGAAGAAAGACAAGATTGATCTGAACAAAAGCTTCAACCAGGAATGGTGCTCCTAGTAGCGATGCCCTTTGCTCCTAGTAGCTACTTGCTCCTAGTAGTACGGCCAGGAGCCCCTAGTAGCGTCCTTGCTCCTAGTAGCGATGCCAGGAGCCCCTAGTAGCGTCCATGTTCGGAAGGAAGGTACTAGATGTGACCTTGAAATATTGCTGAGGATCATCCAACCGACACAGAGTCCGCTGAGGCTGGATGAACCAAGTTCCTCCAGTCGATTGCTTGTTTCAATTTGACAGGGGTGGTTGAGTTTAAGAACGGAGGCCTTTTCACTTGCTTTCTTGATAGTTTGTCTTTTTGCTTTATTTGGAACAGACTCCCTATCCTCTTTCGAGGTGCACTGACATGCTTTGTTTCTTTCTTCTCATGGTGATTTCAGGCAGAGGTTGCAACCATGTACAGAGTTTCTTGGATTCGAATCGTGTCAACTTCAACTCGAAGCACTGAGGGAGAAAGGGGAAATGCCGAAGGCAAGGAAGAAAGGAAGGGAAAAGGGCAGGTCAAGCTCTAAAGAGGATGTAAAGGACGAAAGAGAAAGAGAATCTTATTGTTACTAGTAAGGCACTTGTTACTAGTAGCGATGCACTTGTTACTAGTAGCGATGCACTTGTTACTAGTAGCGTCTTTGCTCCTAGTAAGGCACTTGTTCCTAATAGCTTCTTGTTACTACTAGTAAGGCACCTGTTACTAGAAGCGTGGCACTTGTTCCTAGAGGATGTAAAGGACGAAAGAGAAAGAGAATCGAAAACAGGGTGTGCCTAGGTCATTGGAAGGTGCAACTGCTCAAGTGGTGACCTGCGAGAGTAGGTTGGAGGCCATTGCTTTTAGGTTGGAGGCCATCGCTAGTATGTTTCTCTTTTGCTCTTTTTGCTCTTTCAGACCTTGGCACTTACTTTCAGACTTTCGGGAAACTTTCGATCCTTTTTTGCACGTCTTTTCTGTTCTTAGTCTGATTCTCTTTTCTGTCTCTCTTTCTTGTCTCCTTCCTTCCTTCCTTTCAAAACTGGATTGATGTCTCAAAGCGAGAATCGAAACCAAGGAGATTGCTCGCAGCATGGAAAATTTGCTGCGTTTGGCCCGGTCTCTTCCAGCGGAGAAGTGTGAGGCGCCTGAAACCCGTCTTTTTCCGTTGACTTGTTTTTTTGTTTTCCTTGTTGTTTTTTGGAGCCTGCTCCTACTGCTTGATTCAGTGGGCGCCCACTAAGTTTTGTGTAAGGGAAATGCCTAGTTTGCTACTAGCTACTTAAGCTACACATGCACGCGACTTATTGGGCAGATAATAGACAATACTACATAGAGTTGCTACAAACTCCTGTAAAGCCTCTGCAGTCAAAGTCCATCACACGCGGACTTCCCTAAAAATCTAGGAACCAAATGAATAGTGCGAGCGCTTCTTCAAGGAAGCTTCCCCCCGCCGCCTTCCTTGAAGAAGCACGAGCTCTCCTGCGTCCAGTTCCTAGTAGATAATTTAATCCTAATAGCTTTTTGTTACTACTAGTAAGGCACTTGTTACTACTAGCGATGCACGTGTTCCTAGTAGCTATTAAAACTACTAGCCATTCCCTAGCTACCTACCTCTCCCTCCTAGCGGCCTACCCCCTTGCGCTCGCGCGAAAAGAAGTTAAAAACAAAAGTTATATGTAAAAACGAATAAACATATATATATATATATAACTATAACTTCGTTTTAAAGTTACTTCGTTTAAAGACGAATTTTCAAAAGTTTGCGTTGTGCGCTCCAGGGGCTGGGAGAAGTCAAGCACAAGGGGGGAAGCTATTGTGTCGGAAGCCCTGGCCAAACACGCAAAGAAGATGCAACAAAATGAGAAACATAAACAAAGACACAACGGAAAAAGAAATAGCAACAAAGCATCGCACGTAATGAGAACAATGCATTTCACTCAACTAAGCGCATCGGCATCGGACGTGTTTTGGTTATGTTTTTATTCGCAAAGGATGTTTTTTCTGTGCAACAGTCTCACTGCCTTTCAGGCTACTTGTTAGTTTCCCACCTTTTTTGTGGGATTCCAGCTGCTCTGAGTCTGAGGTTCAGAGAGACCTCAGAAAGACCTTTCGAAGGCCAGCAACTTGTGGACGTGTTGATGTTTCAGTCTGACATAGTCTGACTACCTTTCTGCTTGAAGCCCTCAAAGCCCCTCGTTTTTGGGGTTCGACTCAACGGAGTTTGAGAGATGTGGATGGAGTTGTCCGTCAGTTTTCCTGCAGGAATCAAAAGCGTCTAAGAAGCAGGGAGCTTGACCTGTGCGAAGCAGGGTTTTCTGTGCCTTGGAAACCGATGCACACTTCCTGTCGAAGACAGCGTTTTCATGTAAAGTATTCGATGATAATGATTCTTTGCACAAAATTCTCCGCGATGCTCAAGCAGGGGACAGTTGCGCAAGACAAGACAAGGCAAAACCAGCAGCGTTTGGCAGCGTCAGAGGATCCAGCCGTTCTTCCAAGGAACGCAGAACTCATAACTCATCTCAGGATCTCAAGCTGACTCAAGCTGTTTGTTTTGCAACTGTCCCTGTGTTCAGAGCTTACGTGCAGGCTCAATACATCCTCCTGTCCAAACAGGGCAGCTGGTTCACCCTCCTATGCCAGACTGAAAGTCGGCCCAAATGGTCACGTCTGACAAATGCCACGCATTTGACAGGTTCGTCAGTCTCCATAGTTTCCGAGGGCAAATGCCATACGGCCGCTTGTGACAAACCAACACTACGAAAGTGTCTCAATAAGTACATGTTGTAATCAGATCAACCAGTTCATCTTCAGTTCTGAGACGTGTGTTTGTCTTCTAGCGGCCAGCTCAAAGATATTGCAGGCCTGCACTTGTAGTCGACTGCCAGTCCAACTGTTTTTAGTCGGAACTTGAAAACGCAAATCAAGCTGAGGCCAGCAGCAAAGTGACAAAAAAAGTGATTGACTGGGAACGTTGACCTTGTTGAGTTCTCATTCAGAGCGCACTGGACGTGCCACCAAAGCTGCAGGGCGAAGAGTGGCAGAGCGCGGCACAGAGAGGACCCACTGTCGCACTTGCACATCTTCTGGGATGGACTCAAGTTCATAGAAGGAGTCAGCAAAGCCACAGTCCTCTTGAGTGTTTGGTGAAACCATCGCAGAAGTGCGACATCACTTCGAGGATGCGGTGGCCTCAATCGGATTTGAATGAAAAGCGCACTTGTTGAGTTATCGGATCGCTTCCTTCAAGTACAGTTCGTCAAGTGTGTTCGATTGGCCCATGGTTGAACCAGTCTGCCCAGCCTTCCATACTGGAATTTTCTCGAGTAGCAAACCATGGCGGACCACTCCGGTCGACTTGTGAAGATAACGACGCGACAATATTCCTCCTAGTAAGAATGCTCCTAGTAGTGATGCCAGGAGCCCCTAGTAGTGTCGTTGTTGCTAGTAGTAAGGCCAGGAGCCCCTAGTAGGGAAAATGCCCTAAAGCAAGTCATGAACCGAACCGTTTGAGTCTCGGAGAACTGCGCCACAAACGACTTGCACCTTCAACGGCGGCTTAGGCAGATGCCTGGACTTGGGCACTTCTGACTGTTGAAACAGACCACTAGCAGGACCTTGGAAACAAACTGTCCAACTTTTCTTGCCAGGATCTTGGAAAGGCAAGCTCTGACAAGGACACGTTTTTTAGCCCAGCCCTGCCTCCTTACTTGATTGAGTAGTTCTAGCAACTGGACGCAGGATAGCTCACGCACTAATGATTTGGTTCCTAGATTTTTAGGTACACTTAATGGGATCAGAGAAGAAAAATATATGAAGGTGTTTGGGCCTTTTGCGTGTTTCTTTCTCCTTCTAACAATGCGTAATGCGTTGCATAAATCATTCCAGCCAAACTTCCATTCCGACGAAATTTTTGCTCGCTAGGATGCAGTTGTGTCCTTGTTCGCAGAACACCAAGGTCATAGAGCCTTTTGTACAGGGAGTTTGTTTCTTGAGAGCTTATTGTTACTACTAGTAACAGGTGCCACGCTAGTAGTAACAGGTGCCTTACTAGTAGTAACAAGAAGCAGGCAAGTGTCACAATCTCTCAGTGTTTGTGGTTTCTGCAGGTGAAAGCATTGCAGTGCTTTTTGACCCTTGGCGAGATGAGCTTGGATCTCAAAAGGATCCAACCGACCCTGGAATGAAAGCTTTGAATTCCAATTGAGGAAATTTTGAAGAGATATGCTTTGTTTGTGTTGTAAAAAAGATGCTGATGTGTTTTTCTGTTGAAAACAAGTCATTGAGGCTCTTCACTGCGGTCAGCGGTCGTGGTGCTGAGTTGAATGGGCAAAGATTGGAAATTTCAGAAGGCAAAAGGGACGTTTGGTTCCGCTCTATGTGAAGGCCTCCTCCCTACTAGCGATGGCCTCCAACCTAAGAGCGAGGGCCTCCACCCTAATAGCGATGACCTCCAACCAAATAGTGTCTTTTAGTTTGGAAGATTGATGAAGATCGATTACTTCTCGTGATTTGGTTTAAAGTGTTTCCAGTTGTGCTTATAAAGTTGTTCACAAGACTTTACATGATTTTTCGATTGACGTACGCACAGGTACCGATTTGAAAGAAGCGTTGGTGGGCCAGGAACTGAAAGAACGGGTGGAGTCGACTACCTGGGCAAGCCTTGCTGAAAAAAGGTTGTTTAAGTAACAAAAAGCTATTACTAGAAGCGATGCACTTGTTTCTACTAGCTTCTTGTTCCTACTAGTAAGGCACCTGTTACTACTAGCGATGCACTTGTTTCTACTAGCTTATATTTCCTCCTGCTTCTAGTCAAGCTTCTTATGATGTTTGAAACAATGTTGCTTGATGTTTTTAGTGCTGTAAGGCACAGAATCCTCCCAAGACCTTGAGCGAATTGGCAGCAGCTCAGGGGACTGGCCTCCATCCTACTAGATGTTGTTTAAAGCAACATGTTTAAAAGGATGTTTCAATGTGTTATTTACGGTAATCTTTTTGTAAAGTCAGTGGTCTCATGACTTTTTGCTTCTACTATGTAACTTTTTCATCAAAGTGCAAGCACTGGGAATGGATCCTGGTTGAGGCAAGCTGGTTGGGCGTTTGAACGGTTCCTTGCAAGAATGCAGTCAAAAGTTCAATGAATCAAGACCCCCACAGATTATTCAAATTCTGTGAGACGTCAAAGCAAGGAAGATAAGGAAGAGTAAAGTGCTTCTGCAAGGTTTTATGTTTGGAATCCTTTTCGTTTGGAAGCTGTTTTCGTTAAATACGCTATTTGGGCTGTGTTCTTTGTGATTAGTATGTTATGAAAGCATTTTTGCTCTAAGGTCTTCTTGGTCACAGCTACGTGGGCTGTATTACTTGGGTCCGCCACGGTCGCGTGGTGTACGGGCATTGTGCTGAGAGTGCTGAGAAACCGCAAGGGCTCGCACCCGGCATCAAAAGGAACAGAAGAACGTGAAACAAAAAGAAATAGGTTGGAAGCCATCGCTAGTAAGGTGGAGGCCATCGCTAGTAA